ATTTATTACAATTCGTAAGCCGTGAATGAATGGAAAAAGCGAGCGACCGATTTCATTCTCGGTATCATTTTGCATTTGAGAACGGTCAATCAAATTAATATCATTTCCTTTTGTTTGGGAAAGAGAGACACTGGCAGCGGTCCACTCTACCCATGAATATGGGTTTTGGTAAAATATATAATTATGTATCACGACAATCTATCGTAAAACAGGGGTTCTAGAAAACCCACTTCCCGATGCTCCTGAAACCTGAAACTTTTTTTGCAGTCGATTTGGTCAACGTCTAGACGCCCTGAAAAATTTCAGATCTCTAACTCAATTTTAACATGGTTTTTAAGGCACCTGAATATGGCGATTTTGGGTTTTTTACCGAATTTCGTATAACAGTGCTGGCGAGTATTTTATGCAAATTTCTTAAAAATCTCAACATAACTATTTTTTATTCCTGTCATCTTTGACATCAAATTAGAATGTTTTGAACTAAAAATAAATCTGCTGAACGACTTCCGATGAGTCTTAATGCCTGAAAAATAAAAGGGGTATAATAGTAAAGGGGGTACAATAGTAAAGGGGGTACATAGTATACCCCCAATAAAGACACCGCTCGTGCTTGCCAGCACTGTGATATACTTCACGACAATCTGTTGTAAAACAGGGGTTCCAGAAAACCCTCTTCCCGATACTCCTGAAACTTAGAATTTTTTTAACAGTCGATTTGGACAAGGTTTAGACGCCCTGCAAAGTTTCAGATCTCTAACTCAATTTTAACATGGTTTTTAAGGCACCTGAATATGGCGATTTTGGGTTTTTTACCTAATTTCGTATAACATGCTGGCGCGTATTTTGCGCAAATTTCTTAAAAACCTCCACATAACTATTTCTTATTCCTGTCATCTTTAACATTGAATTAGAATGTTTTGAACTTAAATATACCTGCTGAACTACTTTCGATGAGTCTTAATGCCTGGAAAACAATAAAGGGGATATAATAGTATAGGGGGTAAATAGTAGAGGCTCTTACGGGCATTGTCTGCTCGATACGTTAGGGACCCCAGATACACCTTACTAGACGTATTTTTGACCGTAGAATCGATTGAAAGTGGTTTCAAGATGATTGGACTGATTGTTCTGGGGTAAAATCGCAAAAAACCGATTTTTGGGCCAAAAATAGGCCAAAAAACCATGTTTTTTGATATTTTGAGCAAGTTAATTTTGTTGGCATGTCGGCAAAACTTGCATAAAGATAGCTAAAAGACAGCCGCACAAGATTGTATAAAAATAAAACAAATCCCTCTATTTGTTCTGAGGTAAAAATCCAAAAAAGTGGTAAAAATTTTGACTTTTTTGCTTGAAGTTTGAATAATTTTTTGCAGTTGTATTAAATCAACCCAAAAATAGTCACATCGTGTTTGCCTAAATTTTTCCTTTCCGAGAAGTACCCACTTCATATACTTAATCGAAGTTTGAATATTGTCACTCCGCAAGCGTTTTTGCCAAATTTTCGACGCGCACTACGCGCAAAAGCATTTAGTTGTTATCAATTGGCACCCGCGCGTTCATCATAAATTTCAAACAGCTATACTGCCGTTTTCTCAGAAAAGGCAGTAAGTCCATATTTGCCATTTCGAGATATTGCGACTTTTGCGTTTATGGTTTTTTCTCCGCTTACTTTTTGCGTAAGATCGAAAGTAAACACGTTGAGTTATCAATAATTGGTCAAATTTTAATTTGTCAAAAAAATTAAAGCTTTGAGCCGTCCATAAGCTTAGATATAACCATTTTTATGCCAAATAATCGAGCTTATTTTTTATACTGGATGGACTTACTGCCTTTTCTGAGAAAACTTGGACTTACTTCCTTTTCTGAGAAAAATCTCTGTTCAATATTTTTCTGAGAAGGAAGTAAGTCCAAGCTTTTTACTAAATTTTTGAGGTTTGGATCTATGTATTTTGGATTATATTGTAAAATATAAACAATTAGGTAAATCTAAATTACTCCATATCACATAATAAATGTTTTTGAATAATAGTATGCCCTTATTTAGGCAAACTCGCCAATTTTGAAAGATTTCAGTGCATTAAATGATATCTTATCGATATTTTGATGAAAATGAACTTGATCTAAAAGATATACCTAAACTAAACATTCTCTGCGATTATAACAGCTCAATAACTGCTCCAATGCTTATGTTTTGCGACTAAAATACATCCGGCGTTATTGAAAATCGGCCAACAAATTTTTTTTGAGGCCTAAATGAAAATTTTGATCACTTAAGTAAAGTTGAAATGTAATTATACATCGATTCTGAAAATTTCAAGCGAAAATATCAATCGGCAGTAAAGTTATGTTCTTTTTGGGAAATCGCTTTCTAAAATTCCGCTTTTAGCATGCTTTTATAGGAAGTAAGTCCAGCGACTTCTTCCTATCACAGATAATTTATCTCAGAAAAGGCAGTAAGTCCACGGAATTACTTCCTTATCTCAGAAGATTTTCAAGATTTTCTCAGAAAAGGCAGTAAGTCCGGACTTACGTCCTTCTCTCAGAAAATAATTGGCCAAAACCGAACATGATGTTTCTCAACTGGGACTTACTTCCTTAGAAATTGCATGCAACAATGTTTCTATACATTAATATGTAGCTCATGTTGTAGAGAATTTTCTACTGAAAATTTTGATACCAATATTGTCATATTTCGAAAAATTGGACTTACTGCCTTTTCTGAGAAAACGGCAGTATAACTCAGCGAGATTATGTCCGTTCTAGCTCATATTTTCACACTAAATAGAAAATAATGTGATCTTATTGCTGACAAAATATGGATATAATTACTTTATTTGCCTTAGAGTAATTAGTAGAGGCTCTTACGGGCATTGTCTGCTCGATACGTTAGGGACCCCAGATACACCTTACTAGACGTATTTTTGACCGTAGAATCGATTGAAAGTGGTTTCAAGATGATTGGACTGATTGTTCTGGGGTAAAATCGCAAAAAACCGATTTTTGGGCCAAAAATAGGCCAAAAAACCATGTTTTTTGATATTTTGAGCAAGTTAATTTTGTTGGCATGTCGGCAAAACTTGCATAAAGATAGCTAAAAGACAGCCGCACAAGATTGTATAAAAATAAAACAAATCCCTCTATTTGTTCTGAGGTAAAAATCCAAAAAAGTGGTAAAAATTTTGACTTTTTTGCTTGAAGTTTGAATAATTTTTTGCAGTTGTATTAAATCAACCCAAAAATAGTCACATCGTGTTTGCCTAAATTTTTCCTTTCCGAGAAGTACCCACTTCATATACTTAATCGAAGTTTGAATATTGTCACTCCGCAAGCGTTTTTGCCAAATTTTCGACGCGCACTACGCGCAAAAGCATTTAGTTGTTATCAATTGGCACCCGCGCGTTCATCATAAATTTCAAACAGCTATAACTCAGCGAGATTATGTCCGTTCTAGCTCATATTTTCACACTAAATAGAAAATAATGTGATCTTATTGCTGACAAAATATGGATATAATTACTTTATTTGCCTTAGAGTAATAGACTGTCAAAGTTTAAAACGCGCATTGGTATAGCACGTGACTAATAAGGCCAAATTTATACTTCTTAACATATTATCGATCCTTAGACATCATACTATTGTGTCCAATTAGCGGTTAGGTCTCTAAACTCGTAGCAGAAAACACGTCTTTTTTCCCGTAAGAGCCTCTACTAAATAGACTGTCAAAGTTTAAAACGCGCATTGGTATAGCACGTGACTAATAAGGCCAAATTTATACTTCTTAACATATTATCGATCCTTAGACATCATACTATTGTGTCCAATTAGCGGTTAGGTCTCTAAACTCGTAGCAGAAAACACGTCTTTTTTCCCGTAAGAGCCTCTACTAAAATAGTGTTGTGAATATAAGGGCAACGGTTATGCTTGCCAGCATTGTGATAATAGTATTAGTAGAACCCCAATAATGAATAAACCGCGCCCAAATTTACCGCATACCCCGATTTACCGCGCGTTCATTTCCTTCCCCCAAATAGGGCTTAGCATACACATTGTAAACAAACAACCCAGATAACCTTTCTAATTTAATAAAACAAATATTAATAAAACAAAAGTGTATGTAAATGTCCTTACAGGCATTTTGATTTTGATTTACATATACATTTTTGACCTTTTTAGGCGTACGCGTATTTTTTTTATCGCAGAATCGATTAAAGGTTTTTGAAATAATAAAATTAAGCTTCCCCGGGTTAAATCGCAAAAAACTGATTTATGGGCCATATTCATAAATATAATGGGCCAAAAAACTATGTTTTTAAACTATTGAGAAAGTTAGTTTTGTTGGCATATGAGCAAAATTTGCATAAAGATAGCTCAAATACAGTTGCACATGATGGCATTAAAATTAAGTTATTATTCCAGGATTTCCTCAGGTAAAAATCTTTTGCTTAAATTTGGAATAATTTTTCTTGTATTAAATCAATTCAAAAATAGTCGTATTGTGTTTGCTTAAATTTGTCCTTTCCGAGAAGTACCCACTTGAAATATTTCATCGAAGTTTCAATACTTTCACTCCGCGAGCGTTTTTGCCAACTTTTCGACGCGCAGCGTTCGAAGTTCGCAGCTTTAATTTTGCATATTTTTGTCCCCTGATTGGCTAAATTGTATTACGTGAAGCTTGCATTCTTGTTATGCCAAATCGTCACGCGAAAATTTTGTTAATCACGCTGAGCTTATAATTATATGTTGTCTCTGCTTTGAGGAGACTTCAAAATAGACAGCTGTTTCCTTGTTATGCTTTGTTTATTGTCAGCATTCTTTTGGTCGTTTGTATCTTGGGGCTTGTTAATTATAAACTGCAAAATTTATTCATTTCCCACGTGAAAAAATTGAGTTGTCCTGACCATAACTGGTACAGATTATCGTAGCGACTTCTAGAAGATACTTGCTAATTATTATACGCTCTAACAACATAATCGCTCTCTAGTCTCTAATCGCACCTGATAATGGGCTACCATGAGTCGTACGCAAAAACCCCTGTCGGCAAGAAATGGAGTTACACAAGCTCCTACCACTACGATCTCACTCCGACAGAAAAACTACTGAAATACTCCAACTTTATCTTCGCTTTCGCCATTATCGTTCGTAACTTTTTAACAGGGACTCGATTGTTAAGAATTATAGTTTTTGCTTCCAATCGTATCTCATGATCATTATTTATTGCAATTATTCTCGCTTTATATATAGTAAGATGTCCTAGCAGCGTTTACTTATTTTGCAGTTGTTTGGCATCTCATTGGGAGTAGTAGCAGTATACATCGAGGAGGAAAGTTTGAATTTCATCCTGTTTATCGGAAACAAGAATTTGACAGGTCTGAAGCTGCTGATGGGGGCTGGAGCGGTTTTGGTTATATTGGGAGCTCTGGGATTACTGACAACGATTAGACTCAATAGAAAGCTCATGCTCTTTGTTAGTTCGGCGGTCGCGCGCTACTGCAAGCGAGAGGGCTCTTGTTAGAGCAAGTCAATGTGCACAGTTTATTATTGTCATTGAACCGAAAAGTTCGTCTTAAAAATTTATAAGTTATAAATTGATTTACTGTTAAGTAGAGTGCTAACATTGTGGTTATTTTCAGTACGTTTCTATGACCTTTGTATCAGTTATAGTTCAAGGAGCAGGAGTTGGAATTGCAGTTGAGCAGATTAGCACAGTTAGTTATTTTATAAGTAAAGTTATGCGAGACAAATATTTTCACAAAGTCACAAGTGTTTTCCGTAAAAATGCGACCAAATTTGTTTACCAACTTGCTGCTTGATTAAATAGCATATGTTCTGCTTCCAAGCCAAACAAATTAACTATATTTGAATTGAATCATGGCTTTCCTCGCTCCCCAAAATATTATTCACAGTTAAAAGACGGGGTCAACAGAACATTTTATGAGATGGTAGAGAATTACGCAGATTACAACTTTGAAGAAAACTCGACAGCTCCAATAGACTACATGCAGTCTACTGTAAGCGTAACACGTCTTATTGAGAACAATAACTATTTACATTTTTATTTCACATTACTTCAGTTGCTAGGTAACGGTTAGTTCACAATGTTAGTATCCCAGACTTGAGTAATATTTGGATTCTGACCTGACAAATCTTCAGTTGGAGTGTTGTGGGCTTTATGAAGGTTACGGAGATTGGAATGCGACCTCCAAATTAGCTACTGAGTGGATCAAACTGCACGCTATTGATACTCCTGACTCGTGCTGTATAAAGGACAAGGTACCTATGTGGCATCAGAGTAGTACAGCAGGGAATATCAATATTACTTTGTCCTGGATTTTATCTAAAATTATAACGTTCTACCGTCTTCTGAAGGAACTTTATAAGAGCTGCAAAAGTTTTCATTACTTAGTGTTAGTGGCAAACAATTACTGTTGCTTCTTTATAATTACAGTCAATTGATCTATAAATCAGACTCACTCATTTTTCAGATCAAGACTCGGTGTGGTTTTGGACAGGCAAGACCTTTAGAAAACTCGAAAGACAGAATAGTATATAAGACGGTGAGATATAGATTTCAGAGTCAATTTCATATTCTGAATTAAAGTTAGTTACTCGAATACTCATACTTCATAGTCTTACTCTCAACACTTCAATAATATTACTTACTCATAAGTCATAATACTTAAGTAAATAATATGATTTATTTAAGTAAATAATATGATTTAGTAAATGTAAACATAGTGATGTTTGCAGGGCTGTGCTGACAAGTTTTACAGCTGGATTGACGGTAAAGTGAGCAGTGTGACAGTTATTGCTATAGCTAACATTGTCTGCCAGCTGACGAGCGCTACTTTCCTCTTCCTGCTCCGACAAAGTATGCAGGTCATCACTTTTTAAAGTATTTAATGAACACAGACAATTTTGTAAAGGAGCAACAGTTTGCAAAGGTTCTGTCCAAATGGTTTTAATTATTTCTCTGAGAAAAATGGAAGATGAGTTTAAAGTTTTTTTGTTAAATGAGCTCATTATATATATCATTCGGAGGATTATGATTATTATATTTTATAAAGGAGCAACATGCTATTATGATTACATTAGTGTAAAGACAGCTGTCTTTTAACGATAATTTGCCACAAATAACTTTTGGGGGAGCCTGGAGCAGTCAAAATAAATGCCTTAATTTTACAGCTTCAGGGGCAATTTAAACTAAATAGTCGATAAACGTAACTTTCAAACATGATTGGTATATTTTATAAAGGAGCAATATGTCATAACGCTACAATTAATTATTCTATTTGGCACTGATGATTGGTATATTTGTATCATTATCACGAAACGAATGGTTTTCCACCAATTTCGATGGTTTATGCTTATCACTTAGTCAATTGTTATTATAATAGAGAGGCTAGATCAAATCAACTCGTTAGCAGCATAAAAATAATAATTTTGTAAATTTGTGATTTCGTAGAGCTCTTTTATCCTTTTGGTTTGGTCTACACTTCGTGGTGGAATGTTCCTGTAAGTCTGTGAGTATTTCTTCAATATTATAAAGGAGCAACAATGTCATACAACATGTTTCTTAGTCTTCAAATTTCCAGCCCTGACGAATATTCGGCAAAATCCAGATTAAATTTCAACCAATATTACAATTAGATAGGAGTAAGTGAATTTTTACAGCTGGTTAATAATAGTAGAGGTGCTGTTACTACATGTTACTACTACTTAGTGCTACTACTACATGTTACTACTACTTAGTGCTGCTACTACATGTTACTACTACTTAGTGCTACTACTACATGTTACTACTACTTAGTGCTGCTACTACATGTTACTACTACTTAGTGCTACTGCTACTTGTTACTACTACTTAGTGCTGCTACTACATGTTACTACTACTTAGTGCTACTACTACATGTTACTACTACCTAGTGCTGCTACTACATGTTACTACTACTTAGTGCTGCTACTACATGTTACTACTACTTAGTGCTGCTACTACATGTTACTACTACTTAGTGCTGCTACTACATGTTACTACTACTCAGTGCTACTACATGTTACTACTACTTAGTGCTACTACATGTTACTACTACTTAGTGCTGCTACTACATGTTACTACTACTTAGTGCTGCTACTACATGTTACTACTACTTAGTGCTGCTACTACATGTTACTACTACTTAGTGCTGCTACTACATGTTACTACTAACTTAGTGCTGCTACTACATGTTACTACTACTTAGTGCTGCTACTACATGTTACTACTACTTAGTGCTGCTACTACATGTTACTACTACTTAGTGCTGCTACTGCATGTTACTACTACTTAGTGCTGCTACTGCATGTTACTACTACTTAGTGCTGCTACTACATGTTACTACTACTTAGTGCTGCTACTACATGTTACTACTACTTAGTGCTGCTACTACATGTTACTACTACCTAGTGCTGCTACTACATGTTACTACTACTTAGTGCTGCTACTACATGTTACTACTACCTAGTGCTGCTACTACATGTTACTACTACTTAGTGCTGCTACTACATGTTACTACTACTCAGTGCTACTACATGTTACTACTACTTAGTGCTACTACATGTTACTACTACTTAGTGCTGCTACTACATGTTACTACTACCTAGTGCTGCTACTACATGTTACTACTACTTAGTGCTGCTACTACATGTTACTACTACTTAGTGCTGCTACTACATGTTACTACTACTTAGTGCTGCTACTACATGTTATTACTACTCAGTGCTACTACATGTTACTACTACTTAGTGCTACTAATGTTACTACTACTTAGTGCTGCTATACATGTTACTACTACTTAGTGCTGCTACTACATGTTACTACTACAAGTGCTGCTACTACATGTATACTACTTAGTGCTGCTACTACATGTTACTACTACTTAGTGCTGCTACTACATGTTACTACTACTTAGTGCTGCTACTACATGTTACTACTACTTAGTGCTGCTACTACATGTTACTACTACTAGTGCTGCTACTACATGTTACTATACTTAGTGCTGCTACTGCATGTTACTACTACTTAGTGCTGCTACTGCATGTTCTACTACTTAGTGCTGCTACTACATGTACTACTACTTAGTGCTGCTACTACATGTTACTACTACCTAGTGCTGCTACTACATGTTACTACTACTTAGTGCTGCTACTACATGTTACTACTACTTAGTGCTGCTACTACATGTTACTACTACTTAGTGCTGCTACTACATGTTACTACTACCAGTGCTACTACATGTTACTACTACTTAGTGCTACTACATGTTACTACTACTTAGTGCTGGCTACTACATGTTACTATTACCTAGTGCTACTGCATGTTACTACTACCTAGTGCTACTACATGTTACTACTACTTAGTGCTGCTACTACATGTTACTACTACTTAGTGCTACTACTACATGTTACTACTACTCAGTGCTACTACATGTTACTACTGCTTAGTGCTGCTACTACATGTTACTACTACTTAGTGCTACTACTACATGTTACTACTACATGTTACTACTACTTAGTGCTGCTACTCTACATTTTACTACTACTTAGTGCTGCTACTACATGTTACTACTACTTAGTGCTACTGTATGTTACTACTACTTAGTGCTGCTACTACATGTTACTACTACTTAGTGCTGCTACTACATGTTACTACTACTTAGTGCTACTACTACATGTTACCACTACTTAGTGCTGCTACTACATGTTACTACTACTTAGTGCTACTGCATGTTACTACTACTTAGTGCTGCTACTACATGTTACTACTACTTAGTGCTGCTACTACATGTGACTACTACTTAGTGCTGCTACTACTTGTTACTACTACTTAGTGCTACTACATGTTACTACTACTTAGTGCTGCTACTACATGTTACTACTACTTAGTGCTACTACTACATGTTACTACTACTTAGTGCTGCTACTACATGTTACTACTACTTAGTGCTACTTACTACATGTTACTACTACTTAGTGCTGCTACTACATGTTACTACTACTTAGTGCTGCTACTGCATGTTACTACTACTTAGTGCTGCTACTGCATGTTACTACTACTTAGTGCTGCTACTACATGTTACTACTACTTAGTGCTGCTACTACATGTACTACTACTTAGTGCTGCTACTACATGTTACTACTACTTAGTGCTGCTACTACATGTTACTACTACTTAGTGCTGCTACTACATGTTACTACTACTTAGTGCTGCTACTACATGTTACTACTACTCAGTGCTACTACATGTTACTACTACTTAGTGCTACTACATGTTACTACTACTTAGTGCTGCTACTACATGTTACTATTACCTAGTGCTACTGCATGTTACTACTACCTAGTGCTACTACATGTTACTACTACTTAGTGCTGCTACTACATGTTACTACTACTTAGTGCTACTACTATATGTTACTACTACTCAGTGCTACTACATGTTACTACTATTTAGTGCTGCTACTACATGTTACTACTACTTAGTGCTACTACTACATGTTACTACTACATGTTACTACTACTTAGTGCTGCTACTACATTTTACTACTACTTAGTGCTGCTACTACATGTTACTACTACTTAGTGCTACTGTATGTTACTACTACTTAGTGCTGCTACTACATGTTACTACTACTTAGTGCTGCTACTACATGTTACTTACTACTTAGTGCTACTACTACATGTTACTACTACTTAGTGCTGCTACTACATGTTACTACTACTTAGTGCTACTGCATGTTACTACTACTTAGTGCTGCTACTACATGTTACTACCTACTTAGTGCTGCTACTACATGTTACTACTACTTAGTGCTGCTACTACTTGTTACTACTACTTAGTGCTACTACATGTTACTACTACTTAGTGCTGCTACTACATGTTACTACTACTTAGTGCTACTACTACATGTTACTACTACTTAGTGCTGCTACTACATGTTACTACTACTTAGTGCTACTACTACATGTTACTACTACTTAGTGCTGCTACTACATGTTACTACTACTTAGTGCTGCTACTACATGTAACTACTACTTAGTGCTACTACATGTTACTACTACTTAGTGCTGCTACTACATGTTACTACTACCTAGTGCTGCTACTACATGTTACTACTACTTAGTGCTGCTACTACATGTTACTACTACTTAGTGCTGCTACTACATGTTACTACTACATGTTACTACTACTTAGTGCTGCTACTACATGTTACTACTACTTAGTGCTGCTACTACTTGTTACTACTACTTAGTGCTGCTACTACATGTTACTACTACTTAGTGCTGCTACTACATGTTACTACTACTTAGTGCTGCTACTACATGTTACTACTACTTAGTGCTACTACATGTTACTACTACTTAGTGCTGCTACTACATGTTACTACTACTTAGTGCTGCTACTACATGTTACTACTACTTAGTGCTGCTATTACATGTTACTATTAGTTAGTGCTGCTACTACATGTTACTACTACTTAGTGCTGCTACTACATGTTACTACTACCTAGTGCTACTACATGTTACTACTACTTAGTGCTACTACTACATGTTACTATTAGTTAGTGCTGCTACTACATGTTACTACTACTTAGTGCTGCTACTACATGTTACTACTACTTAGTGCTGCTACTACATGTTACTACTACTTAGTGCTGCTACTACATGTTACTACTACTTAGTGCTGCTACTACATGTTACTACTACTTAGTGCTACTACTACATGTTACTATTAGTTAGTGCTGCTACTACATGTTACTACTACTTAGTGCTGCTACTACATGTTACTACTACTTAGTGCTACTACATGTTACTACTACTTAGTGCTACTACATGTTACTACTACTTAGTGCTACTACATG